TTGCCGTAATGGTTTCATAGGTCAGAGTAGTGAGTAGCTCGTACCCCAGCTACATCGGACTCGCACCACGGACGGCTACCAGTCTCTCTCTCTCGACAGCGCTGAGCAAGTCAAAGGTCTGACTACTCGTCCGCAGCCCTTTCAGCTGGGGTTAGCGTAAAACCTCTATGTGACGCCATTCCCTACGACTTTGTGCAATGGGGTGCAGGTTTCGCCAAAGATCCGTATTGCCGAAGAGTGGTGAGTGTGCTTGCGCGATATCCGACGCGGTAAGGTGCTGGTAGAGGGGGTCATTAATGTGATACGGTTTAGGGACGGGATTTGGAGATTGTCTAGCTTGGTAACGTTGGTACGCTTGTGTCATGGTGATTTCTGGCCAATGTAATCTAGGGTGCCCTACTCTGCGTCTATGTAATCTGCGATAGGCATGGGCTGATTGGAAAACGGTCTGGTGTTCTATGGTGTCGGCATGTCGCAATATGTGTCCGAGATAAGAAATTCTGGCGGAGATGATACGCTGCGAGGGGGAAAGAATAGCTGGGGCGTGTTCATAAAGGAGGCCGGCAATGTATTCGTTGGAACATTGCTGGTCTGAAGGTGATAGGATTTTATGGTAGTACGACGATTTGAGGTTAAAAATCTGTCGTAATACTTGGTAGTGGAGCTTATTGAGCTTAGTGAGGTTAGCCTGGGAGTACATCTGTGACTCCGAGCCGTAAAGAAGAATGGCAAGCACTAGTTGGTTATGGACCAATAGTTTTCTATTAACAGAGATTGACGGGTGGCGGAAGAAGTCCTTCAAGGACTTGGCCGCCTGCGATGCCTGGGCATATCGCTTGTTGGTATCCTTTGTGGCAGAAGCGTTAGTGGTTAGAACCGCACCGAGATAGTCGGCGTGATCAGTTGGCTCGATTTTTAAGGAAGGGTCCGGTTTAGGATAACGAGCCTCAACACAAAAATCGCAAGTACATGGGAGTTGGTAGTTTTTGATTAGATAAATCGGAAGTGTGGTGTTGATGGTAAGCAAATGGCATTTTTCAATATTTAAGGACATGCCTCTTCTGAAAGCGAGGGACTGTAAGGTATGTAGTAGTCGGTGAAGCGCCTGTTGAGTACGCGAGAGTAGGACAGTGTCATCTGCATATTCTACGTCGCAAAGGGGGGAGTCAGACTGAAGTACCGTAGGGAGAGGGCCAAAAGCACTTTTGTAAGTATCATACGTGTCCTGGAAAAGCACCGATAAGGTGATGATGAATAAATAAGGCGAAAGTGGGCAGCCTTGTCGTATACCTCTGGAAAATTGTTTGCGGGAGGATCGGGCGTTCGAATCTTTTACTGCAAATTGGCAACCTTGGTATATTGAGAGAATTGCTGCCGTAAATGCCGGGTGAACGCCGATTCTTAGCAAGGCATTTTCTATCGCGACATGGGTGACGGAATCGAAGGCCTGCGCCCAGTCAAGAAAAAGGGCGTAAAAAGTTTCTTGGTGACGTTCGTGAAGTTCTATGAGTCGTCTGATAATGAACAATGGGGTTGAAGTGGATCTGCCTGACCTAAAACCGAATTGAACTGTGGAGATGCGGTCGTCAATTGCCGTTTTTAAACGATAATGAATCATGGAAGCGTAGATTTTATAGACGGTGTTGATCAACGAGATGGGACGATAACTTTCAGGAAGAGTGGGATCTTTCTTTTTGCCCTTGAAAATCATTATTACGTCGGCGATCTTCCAGCTGTCAGGAGAAGCAGCTTCCTTGAAGGCTTTGTTGAAGTGCGCGAGTAATGCTATATGTACTGATCGTGGGGCAAATTTCCAGAGCTCAGCTGGGACACCGTCAGGCCCTGCGGCTTTGCGGTGTTTCAAGCGCGACAATGCGCGCTGAAGGTCTTGGTCATCGAAAGGAGAAAGGTCAAGAAGGGCCGGGGGAAATAGTAAGGTACTAGGAAGGGGAGGAGTAGGGATGTGGTTCCATACGTTAGTGGATAGATGATTCGCAAAAACCTGCGGTTTCTCTGTGGAGGTGGACATACGGCCATTGGGCTTACGTACGCCTTTTGTTTTGGGATTGTATGACTTGCGCAAGAAACGTAGAGTGGACCACTGTTTGGAGGGTGGACCGGTTGAATCTTGTAGTAGGTTGTCACAGGTGTGTTGTCGTTTTTCCTTTCTGGCTCGACGCTTAATAATTTTTCGCAGCCTTTTTAGTGTTTCATGCTCCGAAGGGGGGGTTGAGTGAACAATGTCTATGAGACGTTTGGTCTTGTTAGAGAGATAGGAACGCTTGTACTGCGTTGGTAGAGTTGGGGGGGGCGCGGCGGCAATTGCCGCACGTTGTAAGGCTCCTGCCTGCTCGGCTAAAGTGAGGTCCAGGAAAGCGGCAGGAGCCGGCGCTGTGGCGTTTTCCACTACTAGTGGTCGAACGGGCGGGGCGTGTCTGCCCCTTTGTGCATCAGTAGAAACTCCTCTTTTAGCAAGGGAGTCAGCACGGTCATTGCCTTGTTGCCCGGAGTGGCCCTTTATTTTCAAAATTGATATGGGCATATGGGGGAGTAAGAGATCGAGAGTTTTATGAATGAGTGATAGTAGATACGTATGTTCTGTGGTGGTGGATAAACCATGTATGAGG